ATTACCTTACGTGAATGCTGCCCTCAGAGACCACTGATAAAGCAGTGCACATTTCATTACTGACAAACCTGTTATTTTGTGGCTCAGGTGAATTATGAACTAGCTTGCATACATATGGCTCTGACATGAGAAGAAAAAAAATTGATATTTTGCATATTACCCTAATAAATATACAACATTCTTTTTTGCATTCCAACAACGAAATCACTTAATTACAAGAAGTTTCAGGCTACAAATGCTGAATATGTGGAGTCTTGAGTGTGCCAGGTTTTCAGTGTTTAATCATATGCAAATAATAATTTCATACATTTAAATAGCAGCTATAATTAATTGTATTTTACATGAGCATCAGAGGATGACTTTTGTCATATCCAAGGCAAACCATGGATACCTGACAGAAAACATCAATTTAAAGATGCGTAAACAGCGTGCAACCTAAATATTACATACAGTCTAACAAACAGAGGCAGTAGACCATCTGATTGGCCAGCTAACAAATAAGAGCTGTTGCTGCCTCTGTGAGGGTTGGTATTATTTAAATACCAGTCAATTCTGCCGTTTCATTTGAAAACTGAATTAGAATTTACAGAGAAAACAATGACAAAGATATGTCAATTGGAAAATGTTTTCTTTTTTAAATTTAGATATTTAAATAAACATGTAAAAAGCTGCTAAAAAAGCTTTTTGGCAATTTATTGATTGCTTATTATTTAACACTGAATAACTTCATAATTATGGTGGCATGCTTTAGACTCAATACAAATGAGATGTTCCAGGTGGAACTTTAAGTGTTTCTTCTCCTCTGGGTATAAATACAACAGAAATGGTCCAGGTTACCTGCATCTGCAATACAATTCACTGCTGAATTCACACACACACATTTGACATGTGCCATCCATTTGAATGGAGGAAAGCGCATCTGCGCAGTGGGGATCAGCAAAATGGGGGGCTGTCAAATTAAACCCAGCATCGTGCAGAAAAAGTAGGATCTGGTTCAACTTTTCCTGTAATGCTTGATACCACCCAGCAAGGCGCTGTGTTGGCCAATCACGTACATGTAAGCATGCTCTCCTGGTGGATGAATGCTATAAAGTGTAACATGAATGCTGTAAATCTATTGTCGTGTTTTTGTCACGACAAAAAATAAAACTTCCGTCACCATGGCAACTTTCCAGAGTTGTAAATTCTTGTTTGAGTGTTACAAATATAATAAGATTTCAAGACCTAAATCTGTTCCTCTAACTGGACATTCTGGATTGTACATCATCGCCTCACCAGTAAATCAAGCGACACACCACCAACAGCACCGCCCCTTGCACTGTTTTAATGCAAGGTCTGTATGAATCCAGCCTAAGAAAGTGATGCATCCATAATAATCTAATATGTATATGATTTGGTTGATATTTGGGGCCAATATTGGTCAGATGTAACACCTGCCTCATGAGACTGAGGGTCCTCCCTGACAGCAGCTACATGCAAACTGGAACATTCAATGTACAAATGGTAGCATTGGACAGTGGGAATAACATGTCAGAGTGTACCCTACCAGTAAGGTTTCTCTTTGATAGAACAAACCCCGCTGCTCACTTAGTCACACTATGCAAAGCTGTTTCTCATTTAGTATTACTTTAAAACTGATTTTTTTTTTTTTTTTTTATGAAGAAAGGTTTTTCATGTCCACAGCTTCATCATTTCTGTCCCACATTACAGCACAAACACCATGAAATCGGATTAGATGTCTGCTTGCTTGGTTAAGCTTATACTGGCTAATGTAATATTCAGTCGCCTCAGGTTTACCTGTTGGACCCTTAAGGAGAAGTTATGTGAAAGGTCACAGTTGTAGCAGGATGACAGATCAAAATGTGGGCATTAGTTATAATAAGAACCAGTTATTCCAATAATATCCACCTGTACAGCTAAGGGATATTAATGTACAAACAGCCCAATGCAATATGCAAGAGGATTTCTGTGTAAGAACGTGAAAGAACAAAAATGAAGGTTAGGAAAAGCGTCCACATCTGCACAAGATATTACTTTTTAGAACTGCATCATACAAATTTTCCATGCAGTCAATGAAATGCAAAACAATGCTCCAACAAAAAAGTAAAATATTCTGTTAAATGTCACCTCTCAGCTGTCTCAAAACTAAAATACTGCCAATGCTTCCATGTGCAGCTTTAATGAGAAAATATTTAAATGGTGAGACAATTTGTAGCTTAATCACATAATTAGTCAAAAACAAAAATTTTAAACCACATAGAAGGTAATTTCAGGCACATATGGCTGCCACTGCTTTATATCAAAATCTTATATCAAGGCTTATATCAAAACAAATCCCCTTGAAAAATTGTAATGGGCTTTTTGTAGTTTTCCCAAGAATCAATTAATAAAATTATCTATATAAAAAAACTAGATAAAAATATTTTAGTTGCAGTCCTAGTTGAACTTTGACACCATTTGTATCACACATGATGTCTGATGAAACATACAGGTTGGGTGCCAACAAACCTCTAGTATTAATAATATTATGGACCTTGAATCAGGTTTTTGTTCTGTAATATTTGAATCAGAAATAAATTCAGCTGTAAATATTCCAAAAAGATCGATTTCTGTAATGCTGAGCAGCACTGTACTAGGATCTCTCTTCAAGTCACAATCCTGGATCTATAGTCAGCCGTTCTATTTGAATAGGTCTCCACATATTATATGAATATAATCACCTTTGTGAAACAATGCACATTACATTTCCCACACAGCCAGCAAAAGTGGAAATGCAAAATAAGTACATTAAGACAAAAACAAGTCATTATCATTACAAAAGATAAGGGGAAAAAAACTTCAAGTACTTTAAACAAAGTAAAAGTCCACCTGGCAGTATTGTTTAGAAAGAAAGAAAATCAAAATGTACATAGCTCCCTTCCTCTTTCTGCTAGTCTCTTCTCTGGCCATTCAGTGGCTAACTATGACCTGGAAAAAAAAAAAACAAAAAAAAAACACCTGGCTCAATAAAAGGTTCTCACAGTTTGTCACAGGTCTCTGTGCGTGGCCCAGATTGTGGCAGGGGCTAGATGGGCTTATGTTGACTTGCCAGACCCCCCATTTCTGAGGAAAAAGTTTGTTTGTTTTTTACCCATCCAAATATCTCATCTGGTTGGGTGTTTTAAACAGGAGAGGAGAAGAAGCCGATGCTGTGACACCCAAGGGTGGTAAGGAATGCACAAATATCTGTGACCCAGGCACAAACCTGGGTCCTGCTCCTAAATCATTCAGGTTTTGTGGGTGATTACGGGCACGTATGGCTACAAGGTTAAAAGATTTTCTATGCATGAAACCTTCTCTCCTCATTGCCATCTCTTCAACAGAAGGCCTGTGGCACTGGTATGAGTGTGATTTGAGGCTAATTTGACTCCACACATTCCGGATCTTCACTGGGGTGTTCCAGAGGTGTATCCTGTACCGGTTTGTCCTGCTCTGTTCTGACCTCGTGACCTCAGGGCTCCTGTTTGATGTAATAGCTGCCCGAGCCGTTGCTTTCCTGGTCAGAGATGCCCTGTGAGAAGGTAAACTCATCTGCATCTGCTGTCTCCTCCTTCATTCGCAGGAGAGACTCTACAAACAGGGACAGAGGCAGATAAGAGAGAACAGCAGCACAGATGAGCAACTTGTTTTCATGCACTTCAAGTAAAATGCTGGAGGAGTTTGTCTTTGTTCCAGATGTTAATGCCAATTCCACATGCACAAGTATCAGGAGAATTTAAAATGAATCATATCAAACATGCCTCAGAATGCTTCAAAGTGAAAATAAAAACACTGGTAAAATTCTAACTCCAGGATCAAATTATTTGAAGAGTGCAGTACCACTTTGGACCTGTAGTGATAAGGGAAAATATTCCTGTGAGAACAATGGCAAAGAGCATGTACCAAGGTTAATCTAACAGTAGAACATGCAGCATCAGTAGCATCCAGCTCCACAGCAAGGCACTGTGAGCAGGACTCATAGGACTGTCTTCTGTTAAAAACACGGTTGAGCCTCAGGAGGCTCAGTGTCGTGCTGGTTTCATCTTTAGTGTGATGTTACCTGATTTGTGGGTTTGATGGAGATGGGTTCGAGGCCGGGGCCGAGCAGGCCCCTGGGCAGGGTAAGGGGGCGGGCTCTGCTCTTCGTCCCCTGAGAAGCTGCTCCTCCTCCTGCCTGCCTGACTGAAGGGCCGTCGACCAACTGGAATCTTCCTCTCTAAACACCAAGCCAGACTCGGGTAAGCTACCAGGGGCTCATTACACACAGGGGTTTAATTGAGCTGGAGCGTGGTCTTAACTTTCAGATTATGCATTAGGAAGAAAAGTTACAAAAGGTTAAGAGTTTAGGATGAAATTTTTTATTTAACCTCGTACTGTTGCCACTTGATACGCCCATTTGAATAAGCCCCTGGTAAGCTCTACTCAGACTTCCAGACCCAAGTAAGCAGATGCACTGTTTGCGTACCAAGAGCAAAGCTACAACAAATGTATGGAAGACTGTGGCTGACAATATTTAAATGAAAACATCCAATGAAATTCAAATTGAACTTTCTATTTTAATGCCCATGTTGTATGACAAAACCACACATTTCAGAATGCGAGCAGCACAGTGACCCTGTTGCCACACAACTAGAAGGTTCTGGGTTTGAACCTTGCAGCTGACCAAAGGCCTTTCTATGTGAAGTTTGCATGTTCTCCACATGCCTGTGTGGGGTTTCTGCAGATACCCTGGCTTCCTTCCACAGTCCAAAGACTGTGAGGTTAACTGGTAACTCAAAATAGCCTGTGTGAGTGGTTGTCTGTTTCTATTTGTCAGCCCTGTGATAGACTGGTGACCTGTATAGGGTGTATCCCGCCTCTCATCCAATGTCAGCTGGTATCTGTTCCCAACTGTTGAGGAACTGGGGGAATCCTTTCATTACAAAAGAGTAATTTTCATTATAAGCAAACTAAAATTCAATAAATCATGCAAACATGAAAAAAAGATTTTTGTAATGTCAGTCCTAAAGTTCTTTAGTAAAGTCTATCAAAGTTCATGATTATGAACTTAACCATTAAAAACAAAATTTTAAATGAGCTACAATGGCACGCAATTTAAATTCCAGTAATTCAAGTTTAAGCAGCACATTGCCTACCAATCAAACTAAAAAGTAAATTTTACATGCAAATTTATTTTCATTACTTGGAGTACACTGAAAATGATTTTGACAGTGGAAATGTAATTATGCATTTTTGAATACAAGCATAAAATTATTTTTACCATTTAAATGTAGAATTTATTATAAACATGCGCACAAAAACAGAACATGCATTTTGTTATTTCATTTTAATATTAGCAGCCAAGGCCTCCATAAGGACTGCTTCAATTTTGTTCCAATTTAGCATTAGCATCCACTTTTGAGATCTGAAACTTTGGACCCAACACCAGGCCTTCTGATCTCAAATATCTTAATTACTTAAACTAAAGCTCAAACAATACTTTGTCCAAGTGTTATCTGTCCCACTCAGGGATACCCATCTTTTCACAAAATCCTGCGATGTGACACAAGACATCCAATGGAAATATTCCAGACACACCGAACAGGTGACCAATAAGACAGCAGCAGAGTTTCCACCACAGTTTTAGCCAGTAATACGTAGTAAGAGTTAACAGGAAAAGGAGAAGGCAAAAAAGGAGTGGAAAGACTGAGGGTGCAGGAAGGGTTACTCACTTTTCTTTTGGCCTTTGTACTGTTGAGCCTTTTTCTTTTGCTTAGGTACAGACTGAGGCATGTCTCTGTTACCTGAAAGAAGACCATAAGACAGGGAAAAGTTGTGGACAGTGAGGTATTCAGAAGTACCAGTACAAGTGTAGTAAAAGCATGTACAGTGCCTTGCGAAAGTATTCGGCCCCCTTGAACTTTGCGACCTTTTGCCACATTTCAGGCTTCAAACATAAAGATATAAAACTGTAATTTTTTGTGAAGAATCAACAACAAGTGGGACACAATCATGAAGTAGAACGAAATTTATTGGATATTTCAAACGTTTTTAACAAATAAAAAACTGAAAAATTGGCCGTGCAAAATTATTCAGCCCCCTTAAGTTAATACTTTGTAGCGCCACCTTTTGCTGCGATTACAGCTGTAAGTCACTTGGGGTATGTCTCTATCAGTTTTGCACATCAAGAGACTGAAATTTTTGCCCATTCCGCCTTGCAAAACAGCTCGAGCTCAGTGAGGTTGGATAGAGAGCGTTTGTGAACAGCAGTTTTCAGTTCTTTCCACAGATTCTCAATTGGATTCAGGTCTGGACTTTGACTTGGCCATTCTAACACCTGGATATGTTTATTTGTGAACCATTCCATTGTAGATTTTGCTTTATGTTTTGGATCATTGTCTTGTTGGAAGACAAATCTCCGTCCCAGTCTCAGGTCTTTTGCAGACTCCATCAGGTTTCCTTCCAGAATGGTCCTGTATTTGGCTCCATCCATCTTCCCATCAATTTGAACCATCTTCCCTGTCC